AGAAAGCCTCATCTTTCTCCCGCGGAGCGGCTGGTAGTTTCGAACCGCTGACCTTAAGGTTCGCAGCCCGATTCGTAACCACTACGCTACCAGAGCTCCGCATGTAGAAAATACAGAAACATATACAGAAGAAAATACGGCTGCCGAGAACCATACTATCTAGAGTCAGTCACTATCGACAGCATTTCTTACACTATATTTCTAGTGGGGAGCCTGTGGACATGTGTAAGAATGGATTTAGGAGATATGTTACCATGCATCTTAAGTCATATATTCTTTCAAAGGAAGTACAGCTATTCACGATAAGGGATTCCAATTCACGGACAAACATCTCCAGTGATATAAACGTCTGATTTACAAACACAGGTGCCTTTAGTGACTATAGTGACAAGAGCAGACTCCTTGCTGTTGGGTGGTGGACTGCTGTCTGCAGCTACGGTGAAATGATGAAAGGCCTTACCTCTCTGGTTGTAAGAACTCAGAGGTGGAGGCTGGGGCAAGGAAGGAAAGTCTTGCCGTTCTGGATTTGAGGTGCCTGTGGGATTTCCAAATGGCAACGCTCAATAGGCAGATGGAAACTCTAGAGGGGGATTTGGCTGTATTCTCCTTGACTGTAAATGGAGATACTGGAATCTACCTCACAGGGTTGATTTGGGGGTTAAATGAGATCAATTCAACCAATATTAATGCTTCATATAGATCAGCGTTTTTATAGACAACAGGGATATTTTATTGTTGTTAAGTGTCTTTGAGTTAGTTCCGACTCATAGTGACCCTGTATAGTGTTTCTGTGGAGCAGCTGGGGGGTTTGATCTGCTGATCTAACAGTTAGTAGTCCAGTGCTTACCCTACAGGGCCACACAGGATATAAAGCAGAAAAAAACCAACCCCTGTTCTCATAGAGCTTACATTCTAATGTGAGGAAATATACAAAAGAAACAGTAAATTATATAGTATGTTAGATACTATTGTCCTTAAGTGCCATAGAGTTGGTTCCGACTCAATAACTCTGTATAGGGTTTCCAAGGAGCAGCTGGCGAGTTTGAACCACCAACCTTGTGATTCAAACTGACCTTGCAGTCCAGTTCTTAATCCTACAGCGCCACACCAGGACTCCTTATTAGATATTGGTGGTGGTGGTTATATGCCTTGGAGTTGGTTCTGACTCACAGCAACCCTGTGTAGGATTTCTGAGACTGTAAATCTTTACAGGAACAGAAAGCCTCATCTTTCTTCTGTGGAATGACTGGTAGTTTTGAACTGCTGACCTTGAGGCTAGCTGCCTGACTTATAACTACTACGCTAATATGAAGAAAAATGAAGCAGAGAAAGGGAACCAGGGAGGTAATTTTAAACAGGCAGGTCAGAGAAGGCCCTACTGAGAAGATGATATTTGAACAATGCAGATGGTGAGAGGGGAGTCAGGAGAAAGTAAAGCTGAGTGACTTTGGGCAGGAAGCTACTTGCAGAGTGGTCTGCCTTCTGGCATTTAAGTGGGGAGCTGAGTTTGCTGACCCCCAGAGCAAAACCCAAGTGCCTTAGAGCTGAGGTTTATGGTGGAGTGGTGGGTTCTGTGGGCATTTATCAGCAGCTGACCGGAACAACTGTGCCCTCAGCATTTTCTGATCTTGTGTTGTAACCTGTTAGCTTCCCTAATAAGCCCCATAACTGTGAGTATTGTCTTTGAGTTCTGTGTGGCATTGCAGTGAATTACTGAACTTGCTGAGCAGAGAAGGCTGTGGGGGGATGGTTGGTGCTTCATTTTTTGCACCTATAATGTGCAAAATTGTCCTGTAAGGTAGGATATTATTATATCCATTTTATAGATGAGGAAACTGAGGCCGAGAGGTTAGGCAATGTGTGAAATTTGCAAGCATTTAACAAATGTCTTTGAATTGGAATGAAGCATAGAATCTGTGTCCTTTCTCTTCCATATCCTCAGATGTAGATCATATAAAATGACTCCTTATTGAGGACCAGGTAATATTTTTATTTTTTACAGCATCTAAGTCTTTGATTTCTCTAACAGTTTTGTCATTAACATCTACATGCTGTTGTTAGTTGTGGTGTTGATTCTGACTCAGGGTGACCCCACGTGTGCACACAGAACTGCTTCATAGGCTTTTCTTTTTCATTGACTCAGAAAGTATTTATTGAATCCTTAACAACATACTTCATGAGGAGGCCTGGTGTGGCCCTGTGGGTTAATGCAAAGTCCGTTTGAACTGCAAGGACAGTGGTTTAAGCTCACCAGCTGCTCCTCGGAAACCCTATACAGGGTTATTATGTGTCAGAACCGACTTGACAGCACATAACAACAGCATACTTAATGAAAATCAAGAAGATCCTTAAGCCTGTGCTTAAGGAGTTTGCTTTTTTAAATAGAATTTTACTTAACTTGTGTTATTGTTGGGAATATACACAGTGAAAGATATACAAATTCAACAATTTCTACACATGCCATTTAGTGTAACCATTTTCACCCTACTTTTCAGAGTTGTTTCTCCTTCATTAACAATAAATTCACTGCTCCCCCACCCAAGGTTCCTATTTAATCTTCTGAGTTGCTCTTTGTCAGTTTGATTCCATATTGCTGTCATTGTTAAGTGCCATCAAGTTGTTTCAGTTTCAAAGCAACTCTGTATAGGGTTTCCTAAGAGCGGCTTCTGGTTTGAACTACCGATCTTACGGTTAGCAGTCCAGTGTTTATCCTACAGCACCAAACTAGGATTCCCATATTGTTGTTGTTGTTAAGTGCCGTCGAGTCGGTTCCGACCCATAGCGACCCTGTACAGGGTTTCCGAGGGTGTAAATCTTTACGGGAGTAGAAAGCCTCATCTTTCTCCTGTGGAGCGGCTGGTAGTTTCGAACCGCTGACCTTAAGGTTCGCAGCCCGATTCGTAACCACTACGCTACCAGAGCTCCTTAGGATTCCCATATAGTTAGTTCTTAAAAGAGCACAATGCTCAAGGCAGACATTTTTGACTAGTTAAGTTAAACTGCTATTTGATTTTAAGATTTCAGGAGTTATTTTTGCTTTAGGTTTAAAGATTATTTCAGGGCAATCATTTCAAGGGTTCATCCAACCTTCATGGTTCTAGGAAGTTTGGAGTTTGAAATTCTTTTCTGTATTTCCCCCTTTTGATCAGGATTCTTGTATGGAACCTTTGATCAAAATGTTCAGAAATGGTTGCTGGGCACCATCCAGTTCTCCTGGTCTCAAGGTAAAGGAGCATACATCCCATTATCCTCCTATCCCTGACTCTCCTTCCTCTTTTGTTCAAGGTAAATAGAGATCAATTGTTGTGCCTTGAATGTAAAGCTGTTTGTAAGCTTTTAAGATCCCAGGCACTATGAAATAAACCAGGATGTACAATATAGGCACTAAACATGCTATTAGGCCAGTGGATTGTACATAGGGTTGCTATGGGTCAGAACCAACTTAACAGTGCCTAACAACAACACTAACTGAGTAGTATTCCATTGTATGTATGTACCACATTTTGTTTATCCATCTGTTGATGGACAGTTAGGTTGTTTGTACCTTTTGGCTATTGTGACTAGTGCTACAGTGAATATCAGTGGACAAGTCTCTTTTTGAGTGTCTTCTTTCAGGTCTTTTGGGTATCTATACCTAAGACAGGAATTGCTGGTTCTTATGGAGCCCTAGGGGTTACAGTGGTAAAAATACTCATCTGCTGAGATGTTGGCAGTTCAAACCCATCAGTCGCTCCATGGGAGAAAGGTGCAGCAGAGTCTGTTTCAGTCAAGACCCACAGCCTTGGAAACCCTTTGGAGCAGAGTTCTCTTCTGTTCTGTAGGGCTGCTACGAGGTGGAATTGATTAAACGGCAATGGGTGTATGATAGTTCTGTTTTAGGGTTTTTTGAGGTAAGGATATTTTTATGTTGTTGTTGGTATTCTGTACTTTTAAGTCCCTCCAAGAGGGATACCAAAGAGTGCTGTGGCTCCATATGATAAGCACTGGACTGCAAACTGCCAAGTGTGCAGTGTGCATCTGCCAGCCACGCTAAGGAAGAAAGATAAAACTTTCTGCTCCTGCAAAGATCATCAAAGCCTTGGAAATCCTATACAGGGTTGCTGTGAGTTGCAGCCAACTCGATGGCACTTAACCAACTCACTGGTCCTATGGATTAGGCACCAGGCACTCTGCAGGAAAACGAGGAGGCTATCTGCTCCTATCCAGCTTCCTATCTTGGAACCCTCGGTAAGATCACTATAAGGTGGAGGTGACTTCATGGTAGTAGGGGTTTGGTTTTGATTTTTAAGTGGGATACCAGGATGCTTTGAAAGAATAGTAGTTGTAAAGGCTGAAAATAGCAACATTTGTTTAATTTATATAATACAACAGAAAATCTATTGTGATATGTTTAAGGAAATGTATCTTTAATGTTTTCTGGAATCAATGTTTTCGGTGTGAGAAAGTTTCCTTCTCTTCTACTGTCAAGTCGAATTCTACCTCTGCTGCAATCCAAAGGCAGCCTTGGGAGGTGGGAGTCTGCACAGTCAGAGGGCCTATTGTGAGCTACTGCAGTGCCAGCCTGACTGGGATTTCCAAGTCCCCCCGATATCATCCATGGAAAAGTCCCATTCCTCGGCGATTCTCTGGCCTGGGATAGAAAAGGCCCAAGGTTCTTGGCTATGTTAAGGCCTCAATGACCCCTGAGATGAATTGAGGTCAGCCTTGCAATTTCAGAGCCAGGTAGCCATGGAGGGATGAAGGAATAAGGTTTCACATGGTAACATGGGGATATTTGTCAGACATCATTTTTGTTCTGGACCAGATCTGCTGAGCAGGATGCCAGTGAGAGGTGACTGCATTGACAATATCCTCAATAGTGCACCCGAGAAGCCTGTTTTGTCCTTTCTTTGCCTCTTACCTTACTATTTCCATTATAGCTTTTCTGGGCAGGGCTGAAGTCTCTACAAGCTTTGATAGGATTTCAAATAACAGGTTCCCCGAGCTGCCAGCTACATCTATACAGGTCTCCTTTTCTGGAACTATAGAGGAAAAGATTTCAAAATGTCTTGTACACGACTATCAAAAAGTATTAAACTGTCTTTTTAATAGAGTGTTTACTTTATTAACACCAAGTCAGGGACTAGAGAATTATATCAGAATCTGCTTTACTTGGTAGAAAGGTCATTTTATTACTGGATAGATAAAATAATCATGGAATGTGAAAAACACTTTTAGATCAATGACTTCAGAGTAAATATATTATTTTTTTCATATGAACATGCATTTGAGTTAAGGGCTATTGTCCTGCTCTTCCAGGTACAGAAATTGTTGATAAACATACAAGGAGGCTTCAAAACATTTACGGAAAAATTTCATGATTTTTTTTTAGTTCCATTTTCCCACAAACTTTTTGAAGCCCCCTGGTATGTCAGGTTTGCAGGGAAACCCCTGTTGCTATTGGTCCTTGCAAGAAGTTACTTGTGTTTACCTTAAGGACAGTTCATAGAGTATGATTGGGTGGGGTTTATAGCTTTACATGGTATTTGGAATTTGGAATACATTTATCCTAATAAACCATGATATGTATGGTGGCTAGCTTCTTTAAGGCAGACTACCATTATAGTACCATGGTGAATAACCAAATTATTATAGTACTAATGGCATATAAGTAAGCCACTAGATTACTAATAACAATATTTCAAGCACACCTAAGCATCATTCATAACCATGTGTGAGAACATGTTAGCTAACCCCCAGTAGACTCCCCAGCCCTGGCACTGGGTTTGGAGGTCACGTCAGGATGAAGAGGCCATTTTTAGGGCCAGTGAACTGTCTGTACCCCAAATCTGCATAAGATACAGCTATTCTTTTCCTAGGAACATTATTTTCTTTTAGATAACCTCTCAATGTAGTACGAATATGTACACTTGGCAAAGGACTCAAACACTATTAAAGAAGACCAAGTTTTTCTAGACCAGTCACATCCTGACTATCTCATTGGAGCCCAAAGAGCTAAAGACTTTAGATAAGTCCACACTGCCTGATGGACATATTTAAGTTAAAAAACAAAACAAAACCAAAAACAAAAGAACTTCTGTATAAATCTACTTAGCAATTTTTTTTTTTTTTTTTTTGCAGAAGCAGTACAGAAGGAAATCACTGCCCATGGTTTGTCTCCACACAAGTAGTCTATGTTGATAATGCTAACTGTGCAGTGAATTGAAACTATCCAACGGCCATCTATTCAGAACATCTCAACTCACCCACAGCCTTGAGGAATCGATTCTTATCTGTTAGCACCTTTATAAAATCAGAGAAGTTCACTTTCCCATCTCCTGCAACAAAAATCCCAGTCTCAGAGCAAGGATAAGATACATTTTAATGATTAAGGTACATATGTTAAGTATAACATTACAATGCCTTGGGCCATTTTATGGTTAAAAGCAGGTATCTTAGGGTTGGAGGTATGCTCAGGGAAGGGAAGCTCCTGAAGGGGTGGGTGATGTCGTCCTCACACTCGTCACCCAGTCATCAAAAGTGATGGTGTGGTGTGGACATCAAGTCCAAGCACTCCCAGGCCCTGCGGTGCAGTCCACCCCTCCTTTCCTCAGGACCATCCCTGCTTTCCCACTGGACACCACCCCATCATTCAGATTGTAATCGCTCTAAATTGTACCCTATGTCTGCTAAAATTAAAGGACAATGAGAACTATGAGGGAGTTTCAAAAAGTTTGTGGAAAACTTCCATTATCTTTATTTATTTACTTATTTTCTTCATTTGTTTTTGTTGTTAAGTGCTGTTGAGCCTGTTCTGACTCACAGCGACCCTGTATAGAGTGTTGGATGAGCTGTGCTCTTTGATCTTCTTCAGTAAGTATTTTAAGTCCTCTTTCTTTTAGCAAACAAGGTTGTATTGTCTGCATATCACAGGTTAATGAGTCTTCCTCCAATCCTGATGCCACGTTTTTCTTCATAGAACCCAGCTTCTCGGATTATTTGCTCAGCATACAGGTTGAATAAGTATGGTGAAAGAATACAACCTTGTCACACACCTTTTTTAATTTTAAACCATTCAGCGTTCCCATGTTCTGTTCAAACAACTGCTTCTTGGTCCATGTACAGATTTTTCATGAGCACAATTAAGTGTTCCAAATACTCATACTTCACAATGTTGTCCATAGCTTGTCATGATCCACACAACTAAAAACCTCTGCGTAGTCAATAAAGCGCAGGTAAACATCTTTCTGATATTCTCTGCTTTCAGCCAAGATCCATTGGACATCAGCAATGATATCCCTTGTTCCATGGCCTCTTTTGAATCTGGCTTGAACCTCTGGAAGTTCTCTGTCAATGTATGATTGTAGCCATTTCTATATTACCTTTAGCAAAACTTTACTCGCATGTGATATCAAAGAGCTTGTCCGATAATTTCTGCATTCTGTTGGGTCACTTCTCTTTGGAATGGGCTCAAATATGGATCTCTTCCAATCAGTCAGCCAGATAGTTGTCTTCCAAATTTCTTGGCAGATGGGTGAATGCCTCCTGTGCCGCCTGACTTTCTTGAAAGACTTCAATTTTTATTCCATCAATTCCTGGTGCCTTATTCTTTGCCAATTCCTTCAAAGTACCTTGGACTTCCTCCTTCAATATCATTGGCTCTTGATCATATACTACCTCTTGAAATGGTTGAACATTAACCATTTCGTTTTGGTACAGTGACTGTGTATTCCTTCCATCTTCTCTTGATGTGGGCCTTAATGATGGAAGGAAAGAGCTCTGGTAGCATTGGGCTGCTAACTGCAAGGTCAGCAGTTCAACTCCAACAGTCATTCACTCCTTAGGAGAAAAAGGAGGCTTTCTGCTCCTGTAAAGGTTTATAGCCTTGGAAACCATCTATGAAGTCACTATGAATTGGAACTGACTTGATGGCACACAACCACCACCAATGATGGAAGGAAGATTTGTACTATTATGATTCAAACAGAAACTAAAGCCTTGAGTTTTGGTAACCTGCCACATTTTTGAAATTGTCAATATGTTTGTATCTGTTTTTTCAAGGCACTGCCCAAAATATACATCACAATAGGTAGCATGAATGTTATATTGAAATATGATAGTCATTCCTAGTTTCACCAAGGAGTTTTCAAAGAATAGTTTATTTTCTAGCATTAATCTTATTTCATAACTTACATATATACACTGATATCCTTAAAGAGAAACACAAGTATGCATATACTTTTTTTTTTTTTTTTAGTTTGATTTTCATTTTGTGATCCCGTGTCTTTTTTTTTTTTAAGGTTTTTATTGTGGATTGAGTGAAAGTTTACAGGGCACATCATCAGTTTCACATT